GTTGTTAACTGAGCACCATAGTGCTAGGTGTTGTAGTGAGTCTCATCATTGTCTGATATGAGACCCACCACGGTCGTATCATCCGCAAACTTCACAACCATATTTGTGGCATGGATGGCAGAGCAATCATGCGTAAATAACGTAAAGAGTGCTGGGCTGAGCACACAACCCTGTGGTGTGCCTGTGTTCAAAACCAGTGTGGCTGATGTACAATCTCCAATTCTAACCACCTGAGGCCTGTTGGTAAGAAAGTCCCTGATCCAGAGACACAGCAATGTGGGCAGACCCAGATTATAAAGCTTTTGTCCAGGATTACAGTGTTAAACGCTGAACTAAAATTGACGAATAGCATCCTAACATAAGTGTTAGGGCACTGCAGATAAGTCAGGGCTGTGTGAAGTACTATTGAGACGGCATCCTCTATAGATCTGTTCTTCCTGTAGGCCAACTGATGTTGTCAAATCCAACAGGGATGGCATCCTTGATGTACTATAGGAGGATTCTCTCAAAGCACTTCATTATACCTGGGGTCAGAGCCACCGGGCGGTAATCATTAAGGCAGGTGAACGTTGATTTTTTTGGCACTGGCACAACAGTGGAGGATTTGAGGCAGACAGGGACCATTGCAAGTTGTAGAGAACAGTTGAAAATGTCCAAAAAGACTCCTGCCAATTGATCAGCACATGTTTTCAATGTCTTACCTGACACCTTATCTGGTTATCCGGTCCTGCAGCTCTTGTTTTGTTGATCCTCCTCAAGGTGGACCTCATTTGGTGTAGTTGCAGGACTAGAGGCTGATGCTGCTCCTCCAACTAAGGGAGATGTACAGTCTCCCTGCTGCTAGATGCATCAAAGCGTGCAAAGAAACTGTTCAAGGTGTCAGGGAGACTAGGGTCATAGCTGACCTGCTGATTACTGTGCTTATAATCCGTTATGGTCCTTAAGCCTCTCCACATGTTTCGTGGGTCGTTGTTATCAAAATACTACTCAGTACACGGTATGTATCCATACTTTACCAGGTTTATTCCATTTTTTAGTTCTTTTCAGGCTTTGCTATATGCCAGCCTGTCGCCTGACCTATATGCAGCGTCCCGGGCTTTAAGCAGGGACCTCACCATACTGCCCAGCCACGGTTTCTGATTTGGAAACACCCTAAAAGTCTTCGTGGGCAGGATAGCATCAGTACAGAACTGCACATAGGATAGGACAGATGATGTATATCCCTCTATATCTAAGCCCTCTTCTTTGAACACTCCCCACTCAGTATACTCAAAACAGTCCTGTAATGCTGAAGATGCCTCCTCATTCCATACCTGTACTGTTCTGGTGATCGGTTTCATTTTACAGATCATGGGAGTAGAGGCTGGGATCAGCTCCACTGTGATATGGTCCGACATACCCAGATTAGGGGCTGCTCCAGCCATGTATGCTACTGGGATATTGCAATAAACTTGATACAGAATGCTGTTGTCCCTAGTTGGAAAGTTTATAAATCCTCGAATTTTGGGAAGCACTGCTTTTAATTCTACATGATTAAAGTCACCAGCCACAATCACAGCCAGGGGAGTAGTATGTTCCAATAATGTTTGTAGTTGTAGACCACGATTTATTAATGTACAGCGCCAGCCCTCCACCTTTACATTTAGCGGAAGCTGCAGTCCTGTCTGCCCGAAACAGAGCGCGCCCGTCTAGCTCCACCACAGCATCTGGTGTCCTGCACAGCGACGCATGAAGCGCAGAAAAGACGCAAGAAGCCAAAGTCGTGGCAAACACGGGGTTTAATAAGACAGGGTGTCCGCGGGGTTTTAAAAAGTATTAAAAGGTAGTAAATCACATAAGCAAAAATTAAAGCCATTAAAAAGTATTAAAAGGTATTACACGCAAATTTACGAGGTATTAAATTTTAGATTTTTTTTAACTACAAATTGTCCATTTGTGTTTTAAAGTTTATCTGCTACATTTCTCGCAAATTATTTTAAATGTGGATTAGCTCATTCCTGCGTTTTTATTTATTTATTTATTTATTTTTTATTGAGTACAAAAAGAATTGAATACAGCAAGTTGTCATTAGTTCGTGAACAAAAAAAAATTACAGCATGGAAGGCTCAACACAATCCAACCATATTAGATTCCATGCAATTTGTATAACAAAATATTCCAAGAAGGAGAATCAAGTATACAGATAGGAAATAGAGACTAAACGAGAATAGTAATAAAAAAAAGGGATCACAGCTTATATAATACAAACAGATCAAGCAAGTTTACTGCCTTTGAATTTTTCAATTTACTAAGGGCATCTGAAAACTTTTTTAAACACAAAAAACAAAGGGGTAGTTTTAAAATATCGGCATTTATGTATAAAGTATTTCGCTAATAACAGAATAATATTAATCAAATCATAGAAAACAGCACACTCTTTGGTTATCCCGTATATTATACATCTTTTAAAGTTAAAGTGAAACTATCAGTAATCACACGCTTCTCTACCATCCATTCTTGCCAAGCTTTCCAAAAAGACTGCATGGGACGAACTACATGTAAAGTATATATGTTCTGTATCTTCATATAAATGTTTGCATAGGTAACAAGGTATATTTTCAAAATTAAATTTTGAATGCAAAAAGATATTGGAGGGATATATATCATTTAGTATTTTAAATTGCATTTCTTTTACCTTGGGGAGAATAGGGAGTTTCAAATAGGCTGTTCTAAAGTACTTAACAGTATTTTTATCAAATGTGTGATCTAATTTATTTCTTAATATTTGACAAAGGTAGTTTGATTGAATGATAATTCGTCTTAAGTAGCTCATTCCTGCATTCATAGATGATCTCTGTGATGCTGACGTCATATTCGGTGGTCGAGCGACGTCTTAAACAGTTTGCGC